GAAATTTCTTTCCACAAGTACTCAAACTCACTGTCATCTTCACTAGGTTTGGTTATGTGACCATACACTTTGTTTCGATAATACTTTATTGTTGCAATATTTGCTGAATATGAGTCATCTAAAGGGGAAGGAAGATTATTCCATCCGTCAGTTGGCGATGCTAGGCAACACATATTTCGCAATAAGATAGTCAATAATGAGATATCCAAGTTTCCTATGTCTGGTGAACCAGTTGACGGGTAAAGAAGATCCCATTCATCTTTATTGATTATTTTGTATTTAAGTGAATGCAATTAACATATTGTAGAAGGATCATTTCGTTTAGCAGATAAATTTGATGGTTTGAATAAGGACTTTAATTTATGTTTGAAGGCTTGCGTTCCTTTATTTATCTAAAGTTTGCTTTAACGAGTTCCGTCAAGCCATTTCTTCAAACTAAAAATGGATGACAAAATCATGATAAATATCATATTACAGTCTCCTGAAAAATTTAAAATGTGAAAAACTACAATCAAATTGAATTTTTTTGTAAGATGATTAGAACCATGTATACATTGAACTTTCAACATTGAAAAAAAACATTAGTATAATTTGGCTGTTTACGTTAAATTTGATTAGTTCATTCGTAGTCATATGACTTGAAATAAAAGCATTTTCCCACCATAACAGCCTAACAATCAAAAATGGGGTTTTTATAGCAAATAAAACAGGTCTATATCTTCTATATCTCAGCTTTTTCTTGGGAAACATCAAAACTCAAGGGAAAACAAAACTGCCACTTCCTTCTTTAGCATATATTATATGCATAATTTTTACTAATCATGTCACATATCATGTCAAGATACGTTTAAAAAATTGAAGTAAAACTATATTTGCTAAACAGCATCTTTAGACTATGCAAAATTTGTTTAGTCATTAAAATAGTTATAAAAAATTTTACTACGAATCTTTTGTTTGCATAGAATCAATATTCCAGATTACTATACAACTTTTGTGAAACAAGTCATTTGTATTTATTCTTCGTAGGTTTGTTTAGAGTATAAATAGCAAAGTTCTATTTAAATAATTATTTCATTAAAAAACTCACAAGAAAGGTCAGTTTATTTAGTTTTGACAACAAATTAACATTTGTAATTTCTCAAGTACCTAGTTTAAACAGCACTGCTGTGTTTGCTAATTGAAAACCCAATGATATAAACATGAATGTTTATATATATTGACTAGCAATTGCGGTGAAGATAAAACACAGCAGAAATTTACATATCTTATGAAAAAATCAATTTAATGCATCATTACTTACCGTATCAAGAAAGTATACACAGAGTTTAATTTACTAGCAATATCAAATTATCTATAACTTATGTTGCAATAGTGTAATGATAACAATTGCATAACGTTTGCATATATATTAGCGGCATGAATTATGTATGTGTAATAACTAGATAATAGACATGCACAAAAAAACACTTTTCGAAACTCACTTGTCAAGTTATTAATTATACTAAAATTATTATAGAACTAATGGATGATATTTAATATCAAGATAAATTTAAAAAACAAAAAGATTTTAAGCTAGAAATTTCATCTCACAACCTATGAGAGTTACAATAGCCTGTTCTTAGTTTATTTCACCCGTGAAACGATCCAATAAAAACTTTCATTGATTCAACAACTTTGTGTCATTCCTGTGTAATTTATGCACTCTCGTGACATGACATAAAAACGAATGTATTCTTTCAACTCAGACTTACCTTCGGCAACTTACAAAATTATACCACTCTTTTGTCAAACTAATTAAATAGCATGCCCCCCTTTTTTTCAGGAAAAGTAAGTCGCCTTCCTATTGTTAAAAACTCAAGCTATGCCCCATATATGTTACTGTTCATTCTAGAATCTACAAATTTTGACTTTTGTTCTCAGGACTGGAAGCAAAGTTGTAGTTCTTCGTCTTTCAGACTTTTTTGTTTGGTCAACAATTCAATCATCACAACTTATAAAAAACACAACTGGAATCTTACCCACCGTAAAAACTCCCTTCAACCATAGGCTTACTGGAGGGGGAGGAAGTAAATATTTTCCACTCACAGTGAAGAACCTTCATATTTTCCTTCCACTAACTTTAGAATATGCACAAACTTTTTAATCTTCAAACTTTCTTAAGGGCGGCAGCGTTAGGGTTAGGTTAGGCATTAGAGAAAAGCCTAGCAACAACTTAATTATGTCAAATAATTTATTAATATGCTATTACTTGAGTAATTGTAAGCATGAATAATATATATACATACTGTATTTAATAATTTAAATTGCACTCTCGCTATCTATTATTCACGTACACAGCTATGAGACTATATTTTATTTTTTTTATAGTCATCAGACAGGGGCATTTGGCGGTATATAACCGTATTTCTAATTGTCTCCGATTTATGGTCGTATATCGATCACTGTGGTTATGTGGTAAGGAAGGATTGTGTAGTGAAAAAATTTTGCCTTCCTGGAGCGCATCCATAATCTAAAACAAACACAGCTGTTCAAAGTAGAATAAATTATTTAAGAATGGCAGTATTTATAATCGTCGTCATTGAGAAAGAACATTTCAAATTCAAAGTGGCATCGTTGTATTTAAAAAAGATGGTAGCGTTCATTTTTGGCATTTTTCTTGTAATTGCCGCTTGTAATGCAACAAATAAGGCATGCCAACGTTCTGAAAGCATTTTCAGGAAAACAAAAGAGAATGGTATGTGCAAAGTATGAAAAACTCCAAATACTTAAAGTTTAACGCAGATGTAATGAATTCGTTTTTATTTCAAATTTAACCTATCAACTTGTTGAGTTTTCATTTTTTTGGTTTACTCAAATCAATCTGCAAAATAATTCTATTTTTAAAAAATAGAATAACAAAAAGTATTTAGCTACTACCTTGGGCTTTTTGTTTCCGTTACACAGGTAACGAACAATTTGGTAAACGTCACTAAAGTTATTAGCGCTCGAGATTTGCAAACCACTTTTGGTGGAAAAAATTAGTAAGAATTCCTTTGGTTTATGCAACGATAAGATTGTCGCAAAAAATAGAAATGTTTAGGATGAGAATTGTGTTACCAAGAAGTACTTTCGAAATAGCTAGGGCAGAAAAATAATGCAGCTAAAAAGCAATTGGAGCTCATAAGGTTTAAATATGACACTTGTTGTCCAGGTTAAAAACGTTTTAGAGAATTTTGTTGATGCGTACGCAAACGTTTAGCTTTGAAATTGCGGATTATTTTGAATTATTTGTTCTAAATGCCATTTAGTAATAATAATTTGTACAGGGTTTTGCCAATTTCGCGGAAGCTCGTACTTTCTAAAAACATGAGCCATATTTTAACTTTAAGTGCTCCAAATGCTTTTTAGCTTTGTCATTTTTTTGTACAATCTATTTCAAAAGTGCTTTTCAATAACACAATTATCACAAACTGATCAATTGAAATTCCAGCTATCTATTCCATGTGAATTCCATGTGAAAGAATGTTATATGCAGTGCGGTGCTTGAAATTAAATGAAGATATGATCTTCGCACTTTGCTGGACAATTTAAGCAATTGTCCCATAAACCTGAAAAATTCAGGTGAGTCAACGGAATTCGAACCATGACCTCAGTGATGCCGGTGCAGTGCTCTAACCAACTGAGCTATGAAGTCACACAGTGGAGAGCAGGTCAACGAGCAGATTCAACGAGCAGAATCTTCCTTTCACGAGAAAACATGAGCCCAACAAATTTTCCAGGTTTATTAGGCAACTGTTTAAGTTGTCCAGCAAAGTGCGAAGATCATATCTTCCTTTAATATCTATTCCATGAAAGGTTTGTGCAGATCTTGCGCGCAGATAATATAAGCGACGTTTTCTTATCTGTTTTTTTTCATATACCTTGTGTATTACATTTAGGGGTCTATAAATGACATGATTAGGCCAATTAAATTGTCGACAGGGAATTCTATCTATCTATCTATGTATCTATGTCTCTGACTATCTAGCGCCACATTAGAGTAACTTCGGTGCGGCGCTTGTAGAACTTTACAGTTATTAAACGTTAAAGTTTACGACAACAATTTTCTGCGTATGAGATATCATTTTCATCAGATTATAAAATATTATACAATATGTCTACTCGTTATTTTCTTGCAGCAAAAAAAGTTGAAATACTACGATTGCCGGTTCACTTTTAACTTTGACACTAATAAATTTTTACAATACTTTGCTAATATCTCGTGAGTGTCAAGTTATACACATGCCTATAGCTGTATAGTTCTTGTATGGTTGACGGTTGGTAAGTACAGAATTATGACTTATTCCAAGCAGAAACTAATTTAAATTCAACTCATGTGTGTTTGGATATGTAAATTTTAATGTTTACAGCAAAGAACGTTGACTACAAAAAGCACATTGAAGGGTGCATACATCGAAATAAAAACTTCCCAAAAACTCGGCATCAATTTCTTTCAAACCTTTTTCTTGCAAAATAGAGTTTTTTAGACCTGCATGTCACCCGCGATAGTTATGAAATAAAATATACCTGCTGTGTTTGCACAAATTTATGCAACCAAGGAGACCTTTCGAAGAACTCAAGAGTTGATCAGAGCCAAAGATCGAGGGTTGCACCTGCAGCGACTGTTGTCCAATACCCGCACACGTTTTATTGTGTTTATTTTATAATTTATTATAAAGGCGAAGCTCTACAACCAAAAGATGTCATTTCAAGTGCTGTTGTCCACGATCTCATTGAATGCTCCATGAATTGTCTACACCAGCAGCAATGTGTCGGCTTCAACTACCTTGATGAAAACAAAAAACATGAGCAAAACTGCCAAACAAGCAATGCAACAATAGAAAGTGGTTTAGAAAAAGAAGCTTCCGTGGGATATTGGATTTTTTATCAAACCTTGGTAATAATTGTGTAAACTTTAAAACATTACTTAACATTCTTGAATCCCGAAATATATATTCTATGTCTACTTGAAATGTCTTGATATGCATGTATGAAGATCGAAAGGCAAAAAATTAAAAAAACTTCAATCACAGGTTATACAAGTTTTCTCCTTAAGATTGCCTGATTTTTTTTCGTAAAAGCATTAAGTCGTGAACAATTTATAAAAATTGACTAAATGTGTACTCCATTGTTTTTTTACCGCCATAGTAACATAATTTTTTATTACAAATTGTAGAAATATTCAATTTTTGACTCGGCTATTCTCAAGAGTAATAATAATTGGATATTACAAATCAAAAAATGGCTTCCTTCCTACCTGAAAGTCGAAAAGGCGTTTAGCTGTTACCAAGCAACAAAAAATGGTTGGAAGGCGAGCATATTTCACAGTTGCTGTGACTACAAGGGACCAACATTGGTCATAGTAAAAGTGAAAAGCTATGTGTTTGGTGGATTTGCATCAGAATCATGGGGAGGTAAGCTACAACGACTAACATGAATGTACTTCTATACTTGATTTTGAAACACATTTCAAGACAATAAATGAGTTTACAACTGTTTTGCTCTTTGGTCGAGATGATAGTGTGATCTTTTAGCTCCATTTCAGCTTTTCGCGCAATATTTTTCAAATTGTTTTTCTGAAATTTTAATGCGTAAATTTCTAATTCATTTTGTTATTTAAAGGAAATCAGCCTTTGGACTCTGCATTTAATGCTATTGTGTAAATAAAATTTGTAAACTTGCACCCTCAAAGTCAAAGTCTTCCACTTTCAACTGATGTTTTACTTTACTGAAAAGCCAATCAGTTGGATGAATGAAGAAAAGGGATTTAGCTATAAATATATAAGCGGAAAAAATAAAAATTGCTCCCAGAAAAATTGTTAGGAGTTTAGACCAATGATCATTTACGTTTCGATAAGTAAATAGATAGCATAAGTAAAAAGGTCAAACAGAAAATCCGGTAGTTTCTCAAAAATAATTTTTGGAGAAAAATATTGCAAATTTCTAAATGATGAGCAGCATAAGTTTCATAGCAGAGCTCCGAGGGTCGTCATTACCATTCTTTGATGTTCACGATATTCGCTAGGGTTATAATTTTTGCAAAGACAAAACAGGAAAAATTGTTCCGAAATAAGGAAAAGAAAAAAACAGATAAAACTGTAACTGGTGATGATCGTGTAAACATTTCAAAAAAGTTCAAATGTCCCAATCACACCCATCTGCCTTAGGAAAGCAATAATGAATTATTCTTGTTGATCAACACAACATTATGGTAAAGTCCACATTCTAAACTCAGGCTTACCTTTAATAGTCCAAGTAAAAATCGATGAATAATAAAATTTCGCGACCGTATTTATAAAGAACATCATAGGACACAACCCAGAAAATTTGCACTTTGACTTAATCGCTCATTGCAAAACTATAGAGTTTAAAAGATTCATTGCACAAAATGAATCAAAAGTCTATTAAGATGTCGTACAAATTTACATAAATTTTGATGCAGCTTCAAAGCTATAACTTCAAGTCATTTGTTAGCACTGGAAAGAAAGCCATTTGAACGTAAACTATATTGCAAAATATAGAAAAGATTTTTTCTTAAAACGACACATATAAAAATAAGATGCCATTGCATTTGGTAAAGTATAGCTACGTAATGTTCGAATATTTGACACGAAAAAATGTTAAGTTTTTTATGAAGGGCCTTGTGAAGTTGCACTAAAGACGTATTTTAATTGAGTTTGACATTTTAACTATGTAATATTAACTGGATGTAAAATGCAGCTATAAATATAGCCAACAAAGTTGTTTGTTTCTATATTGCATGAAAAACTGTTAGAAAATTTATAGAAAAAGATACAGCTAGTATCAAACATTCAGCTCTGTGCATGTTCGAGTTGAATGCATTTAAGACAAAAGATAGCTAACTAAGAAATTTATCTGACTTTCTTTCGTTTTTAATGCATTTGCTCCCGAGGAATTTTTTAAATATATGTGTTGTTTTTTTAAGGGAATACTGGTTACAAAAGAGCAGATCAGTCGTTCATTTTCTCCTTAAAAAACAGAGATAATTTGCCACCATTTAAATCCAAAATTGAAAGGTTTAAACAATATGCAATGTTCACGAAGGAGCACACCGGAGCCACATTTGGAGGTGGTTGGGACTTGCATATATCTGATAATGCCAACTCTAATAGTGGGTCGCTCACACACTTTGGAGGATCATACAAGCTTCCAAATGGTTATTACTACGACACCGAAAAAGCAAATAATTTGCTGGCCGGTTCTTTTTACTTTACACCAGATGAAGTGGAGGTGTTTTTTTTCTCTTCATAAATATTCAAAACATTATAAATAGTATTAAGACTGCGAGTGTGTTCCAATTTTACCATATACTGAAGCAAACTTGCTGTGACTTGTAGTTTATGACGTTATAAAGAAATAATTTATAATGAAATGATAGCAAAGGCTTGTTATAGCTAATATAATAGTAATAATGAATTTATTTCATTTGATCAGCTTTTGGTGTTTTCATTTAATGCAGCTGAAAATAGTATGTCGTGAATGTTCAAACTATCTTTTGTCAAATGCTGAAAATACGTTTTTAGGGAATGGTTTTTATGTTTTTTAAGATTTAAATCTATTTCAACCCAAAGATTACTCTGTCCAACCGAGCATTCGTTGGGAATAAGGTAAGTGAAATAACGGGTAAAAACAATTGATAATGTTATTAGTGTCTCTTTAAAGCAATGCATGTTTTGCTTCTCGATAAAATTATAGTAACATATAAATTAAGGGCGTCACCACCATGATTGTTATTTGTATGCGTAATCGTATAGTTTCGATTGCAATTATGGATAAACACGCAGGAGTAAGTTTTTAAAATACTGTAGTGAAATTGCGCGAGTCCAAAGGACGAGTTTTGCCGAGAAACTATACAACTACTTAATAATAATATACTTTGAGATATTTCTTCACTGTACCGTCTAACTCTGTCTCGCTTCAATACTCTCTATCGCTTCAAAAAAGCATCGTTACGTGTCTAACTGTTAAAAACATTCATGTACTTTGAGATATTTCTTCACCATATCGTCTAACTCTGTCTCGCTTCGTTACTCTCTATCGCTTCAAAAAGGCATCGTTACGTGGTCTAACTGTTAAAAACATTCATGTAATTTGAGATGTTTCTTCACTGTACCGTCTAACTCTGTTTCATTCGTTACTCTCTATCGCTTCAAAAAAGCATCGTTACGTGGTCTAACTGTTAAAAACATTCATGTACTTTGAGATATTTCTTCACTGTACCGTCTAACTCTTTCTCGCTTCGTTACTCTCAATCGTTTCAGAAAAGCATCGTTACGCGGTCTAACTGTTAAAAACTCTCTTCGTTGCTCTCTATCGCTTCATAAAAGCATCGTTACGCGGACTAATTGTTAAAAACTTGCTTCGTTACTCTCCATCGCTTCAGAAAAGCCCCGTTACGTGGCCTAACTGTTAAAAACATTCACCCATAAAACAGGAAACTTGTTCTTGTTTTTATTCTGTGCATTCTTTTGTAATTCTTGAATTTCAAACGATTGCAATTGTGGAAATCTTTGTTTACTTACAACTACCGTTATGTTGCTTTTAGACTTGAAAAGAAGCTCGTTTGGCTTTCACTGCTTTTCAGCCAATCTGAATTATCAAGTTATAGTATTTACAGAGGACTTACACTTTTTTACAGTGCAATTACACATTTTCAAAATGCAATTACAAATAAACTGCACTACAATCCACCAATCACAGACGAGAAATATCTCAAGGTATATTATTAAAAATGAAATTATTCTTTTCGCTAGACACGTCTAGTCGAACGAATTAGTCTTAAAAATCTTTATAGGAATCTTGATAAGGAAAAATTTGATTTTGCAATGTTGATGTTGCTTTTGACTGCGGTGGCCTTACTAAATTTTGCAACCCTTTCATCATTCCTTATATCTATCTTAAAGTATTTTCATTTTTATTTTCTTTAAGAACAAACACGAATCGGCATAAAAGAAAACTCTAGTAAAAAAAACACTATCATGAAGTAATTATATGTCCGTTACGTTATTTTTTTTCAAGCGATAGACTATTTATAGCAATGGTTTTGCAAGCGTGCGTGAGGTTTCCAGAGTAAAGTTATAATTTTATCCTGGCCTATTGAAAGGAGAGTCTTTATCAATTTCCATTAAATTTAACGATTACAAACGTTTCTGTATACCATTGGTATGCGTCGACTGGACAGTACTGTGAAAAACATAGCAGCTTAAAGGCATCTAAGAATGACGATCTTGATCATTGACTTATCGTTTGAATACTCACGATTCTCATTATCTGAAAAATTTACAAGTTTCAAGATTTCACTATCATCATGATTACTTTGAGTTGTTAACTAAGAACTGTTAAATTTCTCAACTGTTTCTCGGTAACGTATCTGTACGAATCTACATAAAACGCATCACAGAAGGTTTTCACTACAGATTGAAGATTGTTCAATGTCTTGCACTTTTTCAAGATTGAATTCATTGAAGATTGAATAGAATCTAGTAGTTTATAAAATGTGTTTCATCTCGCCTCCATTGTTCCTTTTGTAGGTCTGCCTGCTCATCTGCCGCTTGTTCTCCGTCAATTAGTCGTCAAAAACGAGGTCATGCCTACTAACTTTCGACATCTAACACGAAAAGAATAGAAAACTTTGATAATTTTTTATAGCACATATGATCTGAATTCTATAAATTGAACTACTGACCATTTCTATCGCTTTCCTGGAGTCAGCATTTAGGCTCTTCACATATCGATATCAGATGTTTAATACAATAAATTTTGAGGTTTTCATTCTTTTGAAACAATTGAAACAATTCGTGCATTTTATTGGCCATAATAATGGAAAAAAAGAGTAATGACATCATTGGCAGCACAAGCTTTAGCGTATGAGCATAGTAGTGAGCACAAATGATGTGGTTTCCGATTTTCTCTTTCACAATTGCGTGCAAACCATTGTAAAATCCGTCATAAGTTTGGGCAGCAAGCTCATGTGAAACACCATGCAATTGTAACAATGCGGAAATGGCTGTGTTAAGGTCATGTGCAGTTGTTCTTGTTGTTTTTCGGCAAGACAAAAAGTTCATAACATTCGCCAGCTTGATTGAAAAGTCTTACGCTTAACCTCAACTGCTCTGTATGAGAAACATCGGGCGTTGTATTACCAAACAATGCCCATGTTCTGCAGTTGTGTATTTTTTTGTACAACAGAAGATATTCCCTTTGCCATTGATAATGAGAAAAATATCGGCAGCCAGTCGGAAAATTAGGATTTTTAGTTCTCAATTTTCTAAAAAAGAAATACCATGTTTTTATACCAAAAAATTTTCATTTCATTAATTTTGAAATTTATGAGTGGCGTGGTTTCGAGACTTGTCTTTGCGATTAACAAGGCAGGAATCGTAATCTTAGCAGGACAAATATCCAAGAAATAATGTTTGCTTTATGAACACAAGTGTTGAGCTGATGGAGATATTCCTCTCGATTGCGTTTTATTTTTGCTTACGTAGTTTGTCATTTACATAGCAACACTTTGGACAGAGGCTTCCCCAACCTTGAAATCCACCAAAGAATATATTGTCCATTCTCAAACATTGTTGAGAGAGTTTCTAAAAGAATAGCGTCGTCAGATTTAAAGTCAATGTTTACAATTTAATACAGTTTTTGATAAAGTTCTGATGAAAGCATTAAGGAAGAAAAAATATACTTACTATGACAATTAATTCAGTATAAAAGCAGCTCAAAGGTAGTATATGTTTTCCACCCAAAATTACATAATCTACAGCTGCATTGCACAAATTTTTCGTTATTATATGTAACTCAACCTCAGGAGAACGATTAGCAAAAGCCAAATCCGTTTTCATTGTGAAGAATGATCAAGTTATACGTGTCCACCATCGTTGTGAATGTAAGCCACCATGGTTCGTTCAATGTATCTTGATCGTATTGGGTCATCATTTGTTTTTGAATACAAGTAAGTTCAAGTCTAAAATCAAGCATGAAACAACAAGTATTAGTTACCTAAATGAAAACTTTAGGGAAAGACAAATTGTACTTCACATTTTGCATGAATAAAGATCACAATGCCATTCCTATTTTACACTTTGATCAAAGATAAAATTCTCTGTTAAAAGAAAATTCAAAGACCTACCAGAACTTGGTTTCAAGGAAATATTCCAATGATACTTCGCAGATGACTTCAAATGTTTCCAAATAATTTTGGTGCACAAGCTGATGAACTGTTCAAATGACAAGTTCTTAAACTGTACATGTGTTAATCTTGAAGTATGGCAATAGTTGAGTTAACGCGTTGTGTTTTGATTCGTAAGTTTCTTGGCGCATCATCAATTGTAATTGGTACAACGTAATAAAAGGTCACTAAGCTACATCTTATATTAAATTGTATTTTTATAAGCCAATGCTATTATATTATAATTAGCATTGCAAAAGAAATTCAATGACTTAATCCAATATATTTAGTACAAGAAACTTAAGGTTTAACAAACAATTGTTAAATGCGTTAGCAATCTACATGTGTCCCAAACAAACTGTTCATCTTTGAAATCAGCATTGGCGTCAATCCTGTGTTAATTGGGGGACCATATTCATATATTCTGCTATGCCTGGCTAATTTCGTTTTAAAACAATTTTACTATCAAAAGAAATCAGCCTGGCATAACAGAATACATCAATATGGTCCCCCCAGATATCGAAGGATTGACGCCCAAGGAAATCAGACAACATCTAGAATTTTTATGATTCAGCAATAATTGATCCCCGAGAAGCGGTAAATGCAATTGAAAACAATAATGCGTGAAGTTCATTGGGATAACGCTGACGTCTTTTGGGGTCAGTTACTGCCAAATCATGCAAATAATAAATGTCGGCTGATTTCAACGATGAACAATTCTTTGATACACACAGTAGCTGCTGAAATGGCAAATAAATAAGAGATCAAGAAATTTAATCATAAGAAATTTGTTTAGAAATCATTATGGAAGTAGCCAGCCCTTTTTAATTTCTACCAACTGGAGAAGACTCATTTTCTCTTTAGACCTGTTTTCATGAGACCGGAGCGAAATCAAACCGGTACCAGCTCGTGTCGGTTATAGTATTATTTATAGAATTTAATGAATTTTTATTATATTTTTTTTCTTGTTAATTTATCTTTCAGTAATCATGCCATACTTTTTTATAATATTTAAGCAACGTGAGAACATTTCTATATGAAATGTAGCAAACATGAGTTTTTTCCCAAAACCGGTCTTTGCAGTCTTGTCATCATAATAATTTTTTTTGTCCCAAGAGTAAAACATATGAACCAAAAAAAAATGTGAAAGTAGCAGTTTGTTATATAAAACCTATATAAAAACTGCAAAAGTGGATAGTCCAATATCTGAATTCCGCCTTGTACTGCTTCAAGCTCTTTTGTGTTTCCTTTGCTTTCCACAGGCAATTCCAAATCTGCTAGCACAGTTGTCTGAGTTTCACGCTCACAAAAATTCTTCTGAATGAATTTCAGAACTATTTTTCCTGCAAGCAGGCCTAGCCAGGAATCTTGTTTAGGGGGGTTGGGTGAACTAATAACGTAATCAAGTATCAATCACTATCTTGAAATAAGGAAATTCCACCGTCTTAGACGTTTGTGAACGAATTTTTTACAAAACCCAGCTCATGATGATTAAATTAGAAAAACAATTTTTGATTTTTCCAATTTGCAAATTCAAATTTTGTTTTCTTGTTACTAAATAGCAATTTCATTAAAAAAATTTATATATGTCATTACTGTCATGAAATATTCATAAGCTTGATATCTCTACATTTTATTGGTTAATTGCAATCTAAAGAAAATTTCCTTTAACTGTAGGAATAATTCTAGTACAATAAAATGCTTGAGCTATATTGTTAACGTACTCATTGTAGTATTAAAAATGACGTCTTCATGACCTGTCTCTAGATCTTGTTTTGGCGAACGTAATTGTTACTGATTTTGAGCGTTTTATTAGATCAGAACTTATTCAAGACATCCCTTATATGTTTAATAAGAGACTTAACAAATAGATAATATTTGACCGTTGTCTATGCAGTTATAGATTTACGGATATGACGTCAAAAAGTGGCCACGAGCCACCGGGGCGAGTTTACATAATAAAATAAAAAAATTACCAAATTAAGCGGTAAAACAGTTTATTTTCTTTGTCCCCTATCACTTGGAACATTGAAAAGTATTGATTTTGCAAATATCACGCTTACGTGATCTATAGGATTGAAGAAATGTTATTGGCTAGCTTAATCACGTGATAAAATGTTATCGGCTAACAAAATAAACAAGCAATGGCTGATTAATTTTGTTGAAATTTTGTTGTGAAAGACGAAGTACAAATTAATGTTAAAAAACCAAGTTTTTTCTCTTTTTTTTTTGCTTAAATACGTTAACTGCCTCAACTAGGTTCTTGTGAATATCTTTATTTTCCCATTCAGGGAGGTATTGCGATAAATTTTCAAATATATCCGCCATTTGCTTTTTTTTATAAACATGAAATTTTCTGTGACGCCAATTCCGTGCGTATTTCCTCTTATACATCATAGCTCTCGACCAATTTAATTGCTCAAATTCGTCTGGTTATTATATAAACTTTAATATCGCACTTGTCCTAATCAAAACCAATCATATTTCTAAGGTCCCCACCAAATTATATTTGTTTGATCGCAATCTAAAATTTAATTACTGCTGACATTTTTTGAAGATGTTTATCTAATATCTATTGTAAGCTACTAGCATTGGTTAGTACTCTCATTTCACTATATTTGAATCTTTTCATTAATTAACCATAAATGTCTTTCTGTCAAGCTCTAAGAACAGGACACAAGTATGGCCACAAGTGAAAAGTACAACATGATTGGTCAAAACAACCAAAAAGGTTGCAACAAGGATAACCATGCATTTAAAGTTATTTTAGAGAAAGGTCTTACCAAACATTTACTGGTTATTTTTATTTTTTATACTTTTTTGTGATTATTTTCTGGTTGAAATAGCCTTTTAATTATAGTTGCAACCATTTTTTTTATTTTCGGCAAATATTTTTCTTAAGGTGAACATGCTCAATTTCTTATTAACTCCAATACCATGTAAATTTCACCTCTTGCACCTTACTATTCTAGAACACGTAATTTCTTATAATTTTTATATTATAAACGCCATAAATATTACTATAACCTCAATGCCTTCTTAGAAAGTTTAATATAAATGAAAAGAGTTTGGAGTAGTAAATAAGTTAGCATGATGACAGTATATGTATTTGAATTTTGTTAAATGTTCCCTTTACTAAAAGTTTAGACGAGAAGGTTAAAACAAATCTTTCTTCTGGGAGCACCATCAATAATCTTTGAAACAATACGGACCAAAAATTGACTTGTATATTTGTACGATATTCTTTGTCATCTATTCAAGCGGAAGTAAACATGAGCTCCGATTTATGGGATGTACATATGAACAATTTACTCTTCAAAAAATTTCAGAAAAACTAATAAATAAAAATTAAAATATTATTCAAATGCAGGGTAGCAAGCGATCATAAATATCAAATATATCTCGTTCCATCGACCAGTACTAGCAACTTGTACTTAGTGAGAGGTATTATATAGTCCAATTCGGTATAATTTACATTGCTTATACATTTTTCGCTTTACTCATACAGACTTACAGTACTCTGTTGGTGAATTTAGTCAAACACTGAAAGGAAAATATTGTTATTTTGAGAAATGTTATCTAAAAACATCACGGCCCAAAGATTGACTTGTATAGGTCGTACGATATTGCCTGTTGTCATCTATTTAAGGGAACTAAACATGAGATCGATTAATGGCATGTAAAAACGAACAATTTTTCTTCACAAAACTTCAAAAAAGTATAGTAAATAAAATTCAAGATATTATTCAAATGCTTGCTCACAAGCGACCACAAATAACAATTACATTTCGTTCCAGCGACCGGTATTAGCAACTTGCACCTAGTAGGATGTACTTTCTGGTATATATATATATAGTCCAATTTGGTATTACTTACATAGCTCCTACATAGTTCGCTTTACTCATACAGACTCACAGTAAAGAGTTGGTGAAGTCGTGTCGTACGTGTCAAACTATGAATAAGAAATACAAAGGACTTGTGATCATTTACAATGCACAACGCAAAGCGTTTACTTTCAAATGTAATGTAATACAAGACATAAGCGTGTTGTGTTTATGGGAATGACGTTCTATGAACGATATCTTAAACATGTCAGAAAACGTTTTTGAAACACAATTATAGCAAAAACGCTTTTCGGAGAAAAAACTTTTAAAATTTGCGAGAAATCTAAATGAAACTACTTTCTTGATGCGAGGCTTGAGCACAGTCACCTGATATGAAATCTAAGCTAGAGCGTTCGAAAAATGCAGAAAAGGTTAAACAATTAATTGGTCATATAATAATATACTTGACAAGCTACCGATATGTACGCATTGCGTGCCTATTTTTCTTTATTTTTAAAGTCACAACATTCAACGTGCTATTTGGCAATCGGGATTGTGTGATTACCAAGAAGTTTTTATACTGGAAGTTTTGAGCTCGAATGATCAACTGGAACAAGTATGTTTGGTCACAGTTTTTTGTTTTTGTCTCTCTGTGTTTTACTTGACCAAATCGACAGCAGACGAAATTTTTCCACTGGTTAATGAAATGATATAAATAAAGTTCATATGCGATGTTTTTATTTCCTTGTAGACACGATCAATAATTGTCTATGCGTATTTATCAGAAAAATATCAACATGTTTTTTGTAAGTTATATTGATCGATGATTAATTCATTCAGGAAGATTAACTTTAAAAAATTGAATTTTGCGTTCATAGAATTCGCTATTTGATATTACAGCGACAGTTCCTGTTTCGGAATGCATATATATAACAGGAGGGTCAATATTTTCCTCGTATATTTCAATCTCCGCGCATTTTTCACCACTCTTTAAATCTTTAGCAGTCAAAAAGCCAAAGTCAGTTGTTCCAATGCAGTAAGATTTATAAACAAATAATTCGTATAAATAATCTCCCTCAAATGACAAAACATCGCTCACATTCCCAGTCGAATGCACATCAATAAGACAGAAAGCATGATGAAACACGTAATGACCTAAAGAAAAGACCGCTTGTTTACTATCATTTGTAAAATTGCAATTGTAGTGGGAGGGATCCATTCCAGTTATTTTACGGTGAATGCCTTCGGGTTTGGGTATTTCTGGTATTTCTGCAGTGTGCCAAGCTTCAAGGTAAAGTTCGTCGTCTGTGTTTCTCCATTTCCATATTGTAAACTTTGTTTTGCTGACACTTAAAATAACGGAATTATCAGGTGATACAGCTACTTTGCAGTCAAGACTATCGATAGGAAGACACTTGTTATATTGTATTTCACCGTTGGTAATTCTAACAACTCGAACGACATTTTCTTGGTCAATGCAAGCTAAGACGTCACCAAATGTTAAAAATTCTTTTGGTTTGAATCCAATGTATACATATTTAACCTCGGTATCAGCAAAACAGTTAGATGACATTGATATTTTCCTAAGATAATCAGAACCATCCCACATCCACAGTAAACCATTCGCCCACCAACATCCTAAAGCATTCTCCATTTTCGTAGATATACCTTGAACAATGGTACGGCACTCAATATGCCAAAGAACAATTTAATGAAATCAGTGACGGGATCAGAACAAACGAAGGCGACAAACAACGATCCATACGGTGAAAAACAACCGCAACTTACAAAAGAAAACCTCTCAGGGCGTCCCCAAAGATGTTTTGAAAGCAGATGACTCCAAATATCAAGACTGAAAATATAAAATCTGCTGGAGGTATTAGTGTTGCTGGAGACGGTCGAATAAAGAATATCTGTTTGAGTAGTCGAGAATAAATCTTCAAACCAAACAAGTTTTCCTTGTTTCAATAAATTCTTTGCTAATAATCTTTTCTCGTCACTAACATCTATTCTATTTGCAATAAATTGTAAATAACATGACATGGCTGAAAACTTTGAAAATATAGAAATCATACTTTCATAGCGACATAATTCCTGAAGTAAATCCTTACTCAAGAAACATCGTCTTTCTTTTACAATTACCTGCCACAGGCCAATCACCCCTTCATCTAAAGCTAACAACGACCAATTCTGTAAAGCTTCAAATCGTTTCATCTTTAAAATCGCGAAAACAATTTTAACATCTACTGCCCAACTAAAGTCAACATTTTTGCCACATTCTATCATATGATATATCCCATTCTTCAAAGCATATTCAGTCGTAGCAGTATTCATTTTATCTTCAAAAATGTTTATTGACTTAATGTGATGAAACTCTTTCTCACAAGCACGCCACAATAACTGATGCCCGTTTACTATGGACTGAGAATCAACTGTAAATTCATGCTTTTTATAACCATCTGATTTCAGCCAATCAATAAGAGACTTGTGATACACGGTTACACGATCATCGTAAGCTGGCAAAATTTGAGATATCATTTCAATGACTTTATTGCTATCTTCAAACTTCATATCATCAGGTAAGCCTAAACACTTAAAAACAAACGACTGGGGCAGAAAATCTCGACAGGCCACAAGCACTTCAAGAAACTTCTTAAAATTTTCATCTGCAAAAACAATATTGTGTGTTGATAAACTTATCTCTATTAATAAGGTTTTTACTCGACGAAATTCATTCTTGTAGAAACCACTTAAGCCAAGAGGAACTAATTGTTGAATAATTTTCTCGGTCAGTTCAACATCTACCGATTTTAGCTCTTGATGCGCGTGATAAGCATAAAGAAAAGACCCTTCGCATTTTATAACCAACAATCTTAAAACGTCGTCAGAAACAGAATACTCAGTGTTCCCAGAGCGACAATGGTTTAACTTATATTTCAAATACTGATGCAGGTCTTCTTCGTTGTTTTTATCACGAGGTTGAGTTTTTATTTCGACAGGATTCATTTCTTTCAATTCATTTTGGATAGGAAGTTCTGGACGACTAGTGATAAAAATTTTAATCCATTTAGGTAGTCGGCAAAATTCTTTCGCTATCAACTCTAGTAATTCACTTTTGCCGTTAACTTGACTTTCATCTAATGCGTCAATGACCAAAAGCATCTGTTCATGATCTTTCAATGAATGCAATGGATCATTGAGTAAAACACGAAATGCATCGGCAATCGATTTTTTAGAATGGTTTCTGTTCAAACCTTTCTTCAATTGGGATTCAAAGTCAGATATTCCATCACACATGGTATTGGCGAATGATTCGATTAACATTAGAGGATTAGAATAATCTGATTGATTATATCTGCAGAAATGAAAAGCAGCCAGTTTCTCCTTTTTAGAATATCGTCGACACACCTCAGCAGCAAATACACTTTTCCCAACACCAGGACCGGCGATCAATACCATGACATTTGAAGCATCTTCACTTTTGTCGTTAAACCAGTTGTGAAGTTTTTTAAATAACCACTGTCTTGTGCCTAGGAAGTACATCTTGTTTAGTTCTTTGATGCGACCATTAAAATTAAACTTTGCAAGCTTCTCGAGATCTAAACTTGTTTTGTCCTGTACAATCTCTTTTAGTTCCTCTACTTTAGCTTTTGTTTCCATCACTTCTTTTTTTACGTTAGCTACATCATTTTTTATCTCTTTGACATCTTCCTTGTTTTCCTCAGCAAACTCGATCAATGTTTCATCTTTCTTATGCCAGTCTTTCAACATTTCAATGTAATTCGCCTCATCAAGACTGAGAGGAGCTTCCTTCAGTTTATCTATTTCAGTTTGTTGAATACCCAAATCAACCAATGCTTTTGAAATTTCCTGCCACAAGTGCTCAAATTTGCTGTCATCTAAACTAGTTGTGGCTATGTGACCATACACTTTGTTTCGATAATACTTAATTCTTGCAATATTGGATGAGACTGAGGTATCCGAAGCGGGAGGAAGACTATTCCATCCACTAGCTGGTGCTAATAGACCACATATATTTCGCAATAAGACAGTCAACAATGAGATATCAAAGTTTCCAATGTTTGGTGAACCAGTTGACGGGTAAAGAAGATCCCATTGATCTTTTCCAATGACTTTTATTGATTTCAATTTACTCTTTTCAGAAGAATCATTTAGTGTAGCAGATAAACTTGATGGTTTTAATAAAGATTGCAATGTATCTTTCAAGGCTTGCGTTCCTTTATTTATTAAAAGTTTGCTCAAACGAGTTCCGTTTGCCTCCTCAGTAAGATTTAAATGTGAAGCCATTTCTTGAAATTAAAACTAAAATTGATATACAAAATTATGATTAACTTACTTATAAGTTAATAGTTTCCTGAAAACTTAAAAATGTGAAAAACTAATATCAAATAAAGTTATAATAAAAACATTGCGATATTTGTGCTTTGTATGATAGATGTGATTGGTTCAATCGTAGTCACATGATTTGAGACAAACGTATTGTTCCCCATTAGGGCGACACAACATCAAAAAGTTGATTTTCGTTATAACAAATAAAACTGTGTGTCGTCTGTGTTTCGTTTTTCGGATATATTAAGACTCGAGGAGAAACAAAGTTCTTTATTTCCTTGGGATGCATGAAATAAGAATTGGCAATTTTTGTTTAATTTAAGCTAGATAGACATTTTCAAAACTAATCATGTCCCTTTTTAATCAAGATATGTTTAAAAAATGAAATGAAAGTAAAGTTTTAAACAACATCCATTGATGATGCAAACTTTATTTATTGATGACAATAGGTATAAGGAAGTACTTGACCAAGTATTTGTGTTTGCACGAAAATTAATTTATATTTCAGATTGCTATACAAATTTTATATAACAAGTCATTTGTATCTTTTCTATGTAGGTTTCTTTACTGTAAAAATGGTATAGCAAATTTAAAATAATTATTTGGTAAAAGAAAACTTACAATGAAAGGTCAGTTTATCTATTTCTAATACCATATTAACATTTTTATTCTCGGAAGCACCAAGATAAATCGCAATAAAGTTTTTTTACTTAATTTAAAGTCCACTGATCTGATTAACTGAAGTACATTGAAATTGGACAATAAAAATGACTAGAAGAAAATAATCTATATAGGACACCAAGACTGACTGCGTCAGATAGAACAGATCATTTTAAATAAAGAAATTTAGAACAACGAGGGATCTGCATTTTGCATAGCTCTATAAAGGCTTTTTCCTTTAGTAATCTTATTAAGTAAATTAAACGTTGATTTGTATTCATTTGTGAAATTTGTCACAATGTCACAAATCCATGAACATTGTTATACAATCTTTAAGGTTTTCTAATAACGTCGTAGTTGTAAGGTTGTATTACAGTTTTGCTCACTTGCTTGCAAAAGGGTATTATGTAAATTCATTTTAATACAAACACTTCATCACTAACTTACCGTTTTCCTTAAAGAAGATAGATATTTCCGTTTTGTTTTTACATTTTACCATTGCGAAGAAAATTAATGTGCTCTTTATCGTCGATACGTTGGTTTATAAAAATATTTTGGTTTACAACGAATATAAATAATCACGAGATTACATTGTTATGTAAATCAAAGGTACACCTTTTGATTTTGTTGTTGTTATCATGTTAATCTTGGTATTTTCGATGTGTAATGCAAGCCAATTTATAAAAAGATATAAGAACTTAAATTTGGGCATAGAGACAAACATATTATGCTTGCTTTAAATTTTCATAAACATTTTTCCTGTTCTCAAGTATTTCTATATTGATATGTTTTTATTTAAAACTTAAATATGCAACACAGCAAGATTAAACTTACCAGTAATGAAAGCATTTGCAATCATGTACTATCAGTTTTTACAAAATTGGGAAAAGAACACATAGACTGCTCTTAGTACGTATCAACAACTTATGGGTGAAGCGAAAGTTCTATAGAATTTTTATAAAGTATGACGAGAATAATCCAAAGAAAGTTTAGATTCATCTGCATGTAAGAAACAAGAAACTTAACACAAAACTCTACAAAAACACGTACATCTGAAATTTACAACATCATTTAATATTAGATGTTCAAGTTTGCATCTTAATAATTTCTACGAAAATAACAACGATTAAATCTTATGAATAAGCAGTTTCAGTAGTAATAATATAGCTACAAAAACATGAAACACCCTCTTGTCAGGCAACTAATGTAATCGAGTCCCTACATGGTCCTGCAATTTTTTCATTTCCAGGAAGACTTTATTGTGCATTCTTTAAATTTTTTTAAATATTCATGATGGCTTATAGACTCAAAAATAATTGGACATCAATTAATAAATGTTTTCTTTCAAAGTAATGTTTAACTGTTAAACTATATTTTTAAATCAACGCATATAAATCAATTTATATATGCAAAGAATATGGCAATTTATGATTTTTAATTTATTGTGCTATTACTAGAATTGTATGAAATACCTGTTACCAGTCTTTAACACGTAGCTACGGACAAAGTAACACTCACGGTTTTAAAGAATCCCTTGCTAGACATCCTTTTAAAGACAGACAAAGAACGATGAACGATGAACGACGAGCGAGCAACGACGTATCTTTGTCATATTAAGTGATCAGATGCTCAGCATGTAAAACCACGTAGATGCCAAATATTTGCAAAGATAACTGATAACTTATAATGTTAAATCAATGCATGAAAATCAAGTTATATATGCAAAAAATATGGAAATCTATGATTTTTAAATTAAAATGAATAAATCTTTTCATCACATATAAATTTCCGTCTACAAATTTCACTGGAAGATGCAGCTATGAATGGACAGAATAAATTGAGCTTGCTTGTGAAATTTCCGCTCGTAATTTTAAAATTTTGATGAAGGCAATTTAATTAACGGGGATGATTGTAGTCAATTGTACTGTTTATATGAACATGTTTGCATTTTAAAATACATTTACCATGTCAGATATCAATGTCATATAACTGTGAAAATTTGTCCTCAGTCCTACATCCATTAAACCACATAAATTATTTCTACTTTAATACAAACACATGATTAAGAACTCGCCATTTTCCTTGACAAAGGTAGAGAACTTTTGCGTTGTTTTTAAAGTTTAGCTAATTTTAAATTTGCATCTTACAAGTCTAAAACGTTGCTTAATATTTTGTGAAAGGAATTCAAAAATTTTTACCAAGAATAAATTCTTATGTAAATTAAAGATACATCTCGTGACTTTTTTATAGTTATTTGTGGTATTTTTTATCTGTTTTGTCCTAAATTTGGTTAAAAGATGCAACAAAGTAACTTTATAATCTTGAAGTGCATTCTCTTTGTATGCTTGCTTTAGAGCTTCAGTAGCTATTTTTATATTCATATTTCTTAATTGTAAACTCAATTTCCCAACTAAGGTTTATAGTAAGGCATCATTATTCAAAGCAATCGTAATCATAAACTGGCAGTTTAATAAAAATTTTTAAAACAACACTTAAACTTTTTGATGTTTAGTAATTAAATATCATTAATACATGTAAAGCAAAACTTTTATAAAGTAGGAAGGGAAACACAGATAAGGTGAACTCATGACTATAAGGAACAACAAACAGTAGTATATAGAGCGTCGTTTCTGGCGCACCTCACACCTTGAGACCTATTATACACAAATCTAAGCCCCCCAGCCCTAGTTCGCGTACGTGCTTCTTGCAATTATGCTAGCAGAGTAATACGCGTAGGAGGGCGTCCCACCCTCCTCGCAGCGCCAAGGGAACGACGATACTCAACCCGCTTGGCATCCTGAGCTTGGGTGAATACGGTCTCCAGCTGCGTACGAGTGGGACAGTCAAAGCCTATTCCCATACAGAGATCAACCTCGGTGGATCTTGCTCGGCATCGTATTGGCAGCGGAAGCGCGTTAAAGTCGTCACAGGAGGTTTCTTTGCTTGGAGCCAAATCTCGACTGCTTGGGTCATACACAAATCAAACGCCATGCTGATGATATGTATCAGGGGAACTCAAGATAATACAACCTATAGAGACGTCTTCAATTATATCCGTACGTGCCCCGGTGGTCCAAGACTTCCTGCGGGACGGCGGCATAGCGAGTGAGAAGAGAGGTGCCATCACCCTGCCAGAAGAGATGGAAGTTCCAACCCCAAGCCTCTCACAGTTTACCACTGCTCATATGATACCACTCGTTTTCATCCCGCTCAATCCAGAGACTCTGAATCTGTGTCTTGCCATTCTTCAGATTCACACCTCGCCAAACTGCGCCACCACAACGTCCTGTCGTACGAGATCAGGCAGCGCTCCTGTAGCAATTCTCGGTAAACTACCCAAACGGTCATCAACGCCATGGAGGTCGAGCTTGTTTACCTTCAGCTGCACGACAGTATAAGAGAAAGTGCCCTCAGTATCATCATTCCCAATTTTAGTTTAGTTTCGCACCACAGCAACCTGCAAACGAGCAAACTGCTCCTCCTGATCACTGATCACCGAAGCCGCCGCCGTCTTCTCCCAAGTGGTCACCCAAAATGCCATGTCCATGAAACATTCAAACAAGGCCTCGAGCGTTCAATATAGCAAGACTCTTGCTAATGATGCGGCTCCCGTTCATGAGGAGCGGCATTAATAAAGGTAGCATCGCTAGTCATCTTGCCTCTGACACCTCCAGGCATAAAATGACGATCATAATTTATAAATTTGCTCTCGGGTGTTTTGGAGTAGGTCTCAAGCAAGGCGGCCAAATCACCGAACTTCTGACCTGATCCGGACCGCAAGTGCATGCTGTTTGATCTCCTGCAAATTCAACCTCGCAAGGCGAAACTGGTGATGGACGAAGTCGACTATGGCGTTAGCGACCACCTCAAAGGGATACCTGCTGAGAAACTGTTGGTTTAGTTTATTTGCAAGCACGCGATAGTCAGCGACGATAGCAAGACGCATATCCTGATCCGCCTGAGGCTCCCTCAGATTTGCTTCAAACCCTTGAGGGTTTTCCGTAAACAATTGTACCAGCTGCGCACGCGGAGTGAAATAGTTGCTTTTGAGAAAGGCCTCGAAAATTTTCTAGCCCGCCTGAAAGCGGCCAAAGACGAGCAGCATCAAGCCTTCGAACTCCCCTTCTTTCCGAGTCTGGAGAGAAGGTGCGGTTGTAGTGACCGCCGGGAGTTGGTTTTTCAAACGGACGTCAGCGACGCTGTCGCAAACTTGGCCTGCATCTTCAGAATAGTTCAGCAACCTGGATTTAACAACGGTCAGGACAGACTCTTCATTGATAAGTTTAGGGTGGCCCTCGAACACGGCATAGAGC